TTTATGTCTTTGCTTTAATAAATACACTGTTCCACATTGCCATGATCCTCATATGTATTGCAGTGAATACCTCATATTCAATACGCTTCCTATCATTAATACCAAATTTCCATAGAGGCATTTGTTTGAAATATGTGCAGCGGTAATATCATCCTCCCCAAGTGACACATGCTCACAGCATATCAGAAACAGTGCACCGCTTTTCCCACAGAGATTGCTGTTTCCCAGGTCAGAGTGTTGCTACTCTAAACTTTAAGCTGCTCCCAACTCATGATCTCTTTCAACACTTAGACACAATGATGTTAAAATAGGGATCCACAAAATGTGCCTGTACTCTCTCATGTATTTTTGTTGAGAAAGGAGTGAATAGCATGCGTGTGTGTGAGTGTGTGTATGTGTGTGTGTGTGTGTGTGTGTGTGTGTGAACGTGTGATGCACCAGTGCACAGTGCATCTGCAGTTGGAGTGGTGGCAGCCTGTTAGCATTCCGGCTTGACAACTCCATCAGCCCAGTCTCAAGGTAGTTGTCAATCAAAACACATCATTTAATCCAAGCAGTGCTGTGTTTTTTTTTTTTTTTTCATCAGCAAAGCCCATGACAGCGCCGCTACGGCTCTATTTTAACAGTGTGCACAGTTGTGTTTGCAACATGCTCATAATTAGAGAGAAAAAGAGAAAGAGAGAGAGGGGTGGGGAAAAACAGCAACAAGTTTGGCTCCCTGTGCTCAAGGCAGTTAATTTTCAAGATTGGCATATGAAGTGCAAGCATGGCACAGCGATGGCATGGCGCTAAGTAACAAAAGCAGTGCTTCATTCATCTTCTTGAGAGAGAGAGAGAGAGACACTGCTTCATTTGCAGCTCACTCTAATTAGATTAATAGTGTTGTGGCATACAAAGTGGGCCCACTTCACATTAGATAGCATACGAATTAGGACAAACACTTATTTCAATTCCAGGCAGAGAACAGCAATGGCTTAGGTATTTAGCAGAGCCCTTTATGGTGGAATGAGATGTTAATTGTCTGCCATTACCTCTAAACTGCTTGCTTGTTGTATTAATCATGTGCTAATTGATGCAGAGATAGAAACGTAGCCACGGGCTAGAGAGCAGAAGAGAGAGCAGGGAAAGATGGTGGATAAAGCATTATCTGCTAAACCATATGGAGATGGCGTCACTTTGAAAGCTCCCCTGCATGCCCACCAGCACCAATTCTGCCAGTAATTTTTGTGGCACCGGTGCAAATTTCTCTCCTTTTTGCATTTCTGAAATCACATCAAAACGCGTGGCGTGAAAGTAGCAGCCAGCTGCAGCGTGCACGCACTCAACACTCTTTTTAGACAGATATGCTGACAGGTTTTTCACAATGTATCTGTTTAGTGACACACACAATCCCCCACACACAATCCCCCGTGCCATACATGTCTAGTCTACTACAGGTAGAATATGTCAGTAACAGTGATACTTAAGAACATGACAGAAAACATGCAAACATGAAAGACAAGAAAAAGCAAGAGTGGGAGAGCGGGAGGATCAGGGGAAAATGTTCAGTCAGATATGTGAAGAAGGCAGAAAAACAGCATGACTGCTGAAGAGACAGAACTAGAGGACTCAGCATTAGCAGGCTCAGCAATGTAGCTCTGAAGCAATGCCATTTCCAAGGGAATCATCGGTCACTTACGACACAGGAAGCAAGGCTTCGGTTCAAAATGAGCAAAGCTACAGGCACGGCAGATGTCAACATGTAGTGTTGCATATTAATATTAATGTCATGAAGCTGGAATGATATAGATGACATTTTTTTTCTATCAAAATCTAAAAACTACTTCATTTTTTTTTTTTTTTTTGCTTTCACAGATGATGGCATTCTGTAATTCTGCTAACATGATCTTACCACAATAACAGACAGCTGCATGTAAAGGACCGTATTGTATGCTCAAATTAATTTTGGTTTCAGCAGTGTGTGAAACACAAGTAAGGATATTTAGATAAGAGGATTTATGCAGAAACATTAGCCAGCATTACACAGTGGGTCAGCAGTTCTTCATCTCTCTCTCTCTCTCTCTCTCACACACACACACACACACACACACACACACACACTTCCGCACGCACACGTATCATTCTACTTCACATGTAGAAACCTGTTTGCTGTGTCTCAAAGTACCACTCTGTGAGACATAGTGATGAATGTTACACATACACCCTGATTGTACTGTACATATTTAAAATCTAAAAGAAGGGGAAAAAATATACACTCATATATGCTCGAACACATGTATACATGCTTGTTGTGTGCTTCACTGTGCCGAAAGTTTGTAACCTCCACATTATTTAATTGTAAAAAGGAAATATTACTTCTTATAAAGTATACGCCTCTTAAAAAAAAAAAAAAAAAAAAAGAAACCCTGAACTCCAGTATGTTAAACTTTTATAAATATATTCTTTATATAGGGCCCTTTTCTTTCAAATTCGTTGAATGTTCCAGTTTATAGTTGTTAATGTTTAATGTTTTGTCAGTGTCCACATTGGATTATTATTATTATTATTATTATTATTATTATTATTATTACAGGTATTTTGAGTTTTGCACTTGATTTTGCGTTCCATATGAAAGAGAGATAAAAGAAAAAAATCCTAGTGAGACTATGTAATTTCTTCATTACACTTTAAACCAGTTAAATGGTAATATCACAATATCTGTGTGAAACCAAGTCAGATACTGATTTCCATCCATGTACATGGTTTGAGCTTCCTGGATCTTTTTTTTTCACTTTTTTGTTTTTCCACCAATTGTGGTGCTGATAATAATATTGATGCACTTGATGCAGCTAGTCTGATCCTCACTGTTCTCTAGAAGCTAATTTCCCCACTGGAGTCTGAGACTTTATTCTCTACAATGAATGGCTCAAACGTGATAATAAAGAGTAACAAAAACAAACACCCATCCATTAAAAGTCACCTCACATCTCTTAACAATTCTTTGAAAGATAGCATGTCATACAAGATCCTGAGTAAAACTTCTTTGGTTGAAATGAAAGTCTTGTTTATTGTTCCTTGAACGCCAAAACTCATTGAGAACAATTTCCTTTCTTTATTTTGCAAATCCCCAGGAACCGACATCAAACAATACGCATTTAGAGTTCATACTTAATAATGATGCTGTAAATTTAAAGCACCATGACAACAGTGATCAGCAACAGAATTAAATAAAAGATATAAAAAATAGTGCCGAAAAATACGTCAAGCCAACATGAAAAAAGAATTATGGCACAAAAGCATGGGCAGCATACACCACTATTCAGATAGCGCCCCAGCAATTTTTTTCTTCATAATCCACAGGAGCCTAATTACTAAAGCACTGCTGCTTGCTTTCAATCAGACAGAGGGGAAATGACACACTCTTTTGTTCCTTCTTCATATCACACATGATGCTCTGTCATTCTCTCTGCAACACAGAGACAAGCAGCAGCTCTCCCAGACTGCCATGTGTCCCCAGCATGGTTCACAGTGAGGGAGATGGAGCAGGACCCGTCATGGTGGCTGCACATATTTCATGCTTGCTTCTGGCCTACTTTTATCCAACTATAATTATTATTAGCAGCTTGGAGGACTTGGGTGCAGCTTAATAATCATTTAAAGCTTTGTTAAGCACTGGTCCTGCTCATCCCCCTACCCCCAATTGAAAATGACATTCACCATGCCTAGTGTTTTTCTTCAGAGCAACTCAGCTGTCAGAACAGAACCTTTACATGGTCTGACCCTGAGAATTACTGCGAGAGATTCTGCTGGATTTCCTGATGTGCACTGCAATTTTCTACATTCAGAAACACAATTAGTGTGTTATTAAAGCTACTGAAACAGATCTCAGACTGAACTGGGATCAGTCACTTACTATGAAAAAAAACCAAAACAAAAACGGATCATAGTGGATAGGCAATTGTAGATCAGTGTGGGCTGAAGGATAGTAGTGGAGAGCTGCATTGTGGTATATCTCACTGAGATCCTCGGAGGAGAGCTGCCTGGTGGTGCTCACAGTGTGTCTGAACGTGTGCCAGCACACCGGTGGCTTCTCTCAGCAGCAGGACAGGGGCGGCTGCTACCTGAGCACAGGAGGCCAGTGGAGATGCTAATCACACTCTGCTGCTGCAGCTGGGAACCTGCATGGCCTACTGAAGGTGTGACAAATACACACACACGCAAACACACACACAAGCACAGTCAGACAATGCAGCTCAGAAGGGGGCCAGCCAGTGGGCGGCAAGCGGAGGTAAGTGACCCATGGATAGCTCCATTTGAGCGTGTGTGTATTTTTTTTTTTGTGTGTGTGTGTGTCTGTGTGAAAGTCATTGACTCATGATCTCTCTCCATAACTCACACACTCCTAACACAAGGAAGGAGATGATTCCTAGCTCATGTCTTAATTAGATGGACCTCATGACCTATTGCATGCTGAACATTTTCTGAACTCATCATTCACCAATATTGCATCATCTCTTTCACTTTACCATGGGTTATATTTAGCGTCTTGGACCCCCCATGACAATGAGGAGAAGAGAAGGTGGAAATTCCACCATAAACCCAATCAGAGAAACACCACACTGGGGACCATAAATCACTGTGTTTCGGGGCCACTGGGAGGTCTGGGAAGTGCACATTTCCCTTTTATTCTTCTTAGGAAGCCCAACTCCATCCTCCTGAACTAAGGTCACCTGTGGTCATGACCTTGGAAAGGGCTATTATGCATCTTAAACCATAGAAACCCTGAGGTGCATAAGAAACCAAACAGAAAGTTTCACTTAGGCCAAGTGAGTGTACTGATTTATAACTACCATCGGAATACTGAAGCAGCTGCACAAACATTGTATATGGCATAACAATACCCATTCTCCAACTGAATGATTAGGTCTTGACACTCAACGTGAGATTTAAGTAATACAATTCATTCATTCATTCATTTTCAGAAGGTGATTTATCTTGATTAGAGTCGTAGTGGATCTGGGTTCCTGGAGGTCTAGTGGTTAGGCCCCTGTGCTCTCACTGCCATGGCCCGGGTTTTATTCCCGGCCAGGGAACCAGTCCCAGCCACTGGGGATACACACGGCAGTGCATTCCCAATGCTGGTCCCAAGCCCGGATAAAACTGGGATGGGTTGCATCAGGAGGGGTATCCACAGTAAAAACTCAAATCAAATATACGGAACTATGATCCGCTGTGGCAACCCCTAACAGGAGAAGCCGAAAGAAGAACAACAACAGGGACGTAGTGGATCCAGAGCCTATCCTAGGAACACTAGGAGCAAGACAGGACTACAAACTGGATGGAAAGCCAGTCCATCAAGGGTTTTGGGTAAGAATGATTGATATCATTGACAATACTATATAAATCTGATCTTATTCTCAAGATTATATGACTCCCAACCATTTCTATATGTACCCAATGTTTGGACACATTACAAGTTTTGCATTATTTATGTGAATTTGTTATATTACATTTCAACTACTGCAAAAATGGGTTCGTCAAAAAGGAAATTCGTCTTTGAGCTTATAACAAAAACCTTCTCAAATATTTGTGCTTGTGCACCATATGTATCAGGTAGAATTCCAAGCTCTCATCAGCTCGATAGAGTTCCATTTCAACCATGTGTCATCAGCAATGTCAGCTTAGCACCATCGTGCCCTCAAACCCTGCTTTCACTGAAAGTCTAGAAGATGTAGTGGTCTCTAGGTCAAACTGGAGAGCTCAGCACACTGCGAGAACCTCCAGAGAGCTCCAGAACACTAAAAACACAGCAAGGCCTGATCGAGCAGGCTGGAGGGCAGATAGACTATTACTCAGAGGTCATGTTAGCCCCATATGAGCAGTATCTTCATGGCCAGTTGCCCATTTAACATGCTCAACCTCCCTTCTCACATCTGCAGCCCATACTGAGCCTTCCTGCTCCCATCCCCAGCACATGGCCACAGTAAGGGGCCAGACATGCTGCTAAAGGTAGACATGTCACAACACGGCCAGGGGTACTGGATGAAGGGGCAGAGAGTCCTCAGATGGGCCGCAGAAATCCGATCGCAACAGTGATCGAGTGAGAAAGAGGGGAGAGTGAGAGCAAGCCTCAAGGGAACAAATCATCTCAGGCTTTTTGAGGAGCCTGAGACTTAGTGGTGACAGTAATGAGCAACACAGACAGCAATTTAACACAGCAGTCTGAATTTCTTTTAAATGAAAAGGATAAAATGATATAATGATTTGACATGGCTATTGAATTTTTATGCGGCCTACAAACCTAATCCGTATCAAATCGCATTTCAGTTCAACAGAGATTTTACCCCTCAAATATTAAATTTCTGTGAATGATCATCAAAACGATTTATTGAAAACTAATAAATAATAGTAGATGAATGCATTTCTTTTTAAATAAAAGCTTCTGAGTATGATAATATGCCACTTTTATGTATTTAGCATTAGATATGTGCAGTTGAAAAAAGTTGGAAGCTTATTCGTATCTTTTATGACTTGTGTTCCAGTTTTAGAGCCTAACACCCATGTAGGCCATGCTAAATATGCCCAGAAATAACACCGGGCCTCCCTACTGTCTCTGAGATTGCCCACCTAGGAGCTTGGCACACGCCACAGCACACACAAAACCCAGAAGATTATACTCATATAGCATATTTCATAATGCAAAGTTCTCACTTTTCCCTTCCTCTCCTCCCACTGTCCACAGCCAGCTTCATTTTAGCTGGGCGTGAATAATTGTGACAGATTTTTCGTTCGTTTTCAGCCATCTAGTTTCCCAAGCACAGTGGCGGGTCATTTAAAAACAGTGGCACAAAGCAGTTTTGAAACAGATTCCAGGCGTGGCGGGTATTGTGCTGCCACATACAAAAAACATACCATGGCCACTTTCCCTTTCCCCTGTAATTAGAAAGCTGGGGCAATTATTGGGAAAGACAACCTGCAAGTTCAGGTGGACAGGGACAAGAAGGCAAAGTTGAAAGAAAAAGGGGAGGGAAGTGGAGGGGCGTTTCGGGATGCTGTTGTGGGCTTCTGACAATAGTCCAGGTGTAGTGCAGTGCTCTGCACAGGTGACCACAAAGCCACCAAACAAGCAGGTAATTACCCCACTAAGGTAATTTACTGAACTAAGTGCTACTTTCACTGCCTGTTGGTGTGACTGTGTGCAATTACACACAAGGGCCAACAAAGGCCCATGTGTCCCTTTCAGACCATGGGCTGGGAGAACACAGGCTGTATGCACAGATGACATTGAACAGAGACACAAAGGGTGACACTGGCACATGGACATGTCCAAAAGGAAAGGTGGTGCTCTGCGTACCTCCCCAAGGCTTTAGCAGAATCTACGCTGCAGGTCCACAGAGCAGCAGGCTCTCGCAACGTTAAGAAGTCTGTAATGAGTTCCAATTTAAGATGGGAGACTATAATTAGGCACTGTAATTCTCCATATGCTGGTCATGTGTCGCATGCTCAAGTGTGCACATCTAATCCTTTCTTTCTTTCTTTTCTTACTTTCTTTCATTCTTTCTTTCTTTCTTTCTTATTTCAGTAAATAAATAAAGAAATAGATATGTAGTTAGAGATAACATTAACATGCCAACAGGACAACTATATATTTTTATATTCTTTATATTATTTTATATATAGGGTGTGTCTTGTCTATTATATAAAGATGAATGGGATTAATAAGCAACATTTCAAGCTACAGTATATGGAAGTATACAGTGTACAGAAGTATGTCTTCAAATTCTTTTCTTATGTTTCTCAAGTACAAAACCACAAACACTTAAATTTACTGAAGTATGAAAGGAAAATGAAACCGCAAATGAGAAAGAATTATTTGCTTTAAATCACACACTGTTAACAGACTGCAAGTTTTGTGTGTCAAGGCACCAGGAAATGTGATAAAACTAAATACTAATGCTAATTCATTACAGCCATACCCTTATCTCTCAAAAGATAGCTAGCACTGACTAGACAAAAGCAAAATTTAGATAACAAGCAACAGAAAATGATGTTATATACATCTATGTGTTTTTGTGCTCTTTTTCTGCTCCCCTTTTGGTGTAAGATACTACGCTTACAATCAACTGCTTGAAGCTGTCTGATGGAAAAAAAAAAAGAAATCAAGCTGACTTCCAAAAATAGCAATTAGCAACCAATCTGTTTTAAAAAGCTTTACGATTTAGTGAGTAAAAAAAAATCATGTCTTCCAGTAAGTGAAAGAAAATCCAAGTACAGTTATAAAGTTATTGTACTTCCTTACTCCTCGCCTCTGAAAATGGTCCGTGCACACACAGCGCAGGATTGTATGGAGATAGATTCTACAGAGAGAACATCTGATTGCATCCTCTACTTCTAACATGCATGCAAAATACTGGTTACATACAGTGCATGCTTAGAATGAACTGTTTAGATACAACAAAGGTTTGTGTCTGAAAACCTACAATAATTTCAATTTAGCGTGAGTATAAGGAAAATTCAGGCAAATCATATCTGACAGGGACATTCAACATTATCATTCAGTGACTACAAATGTTATTAGTTTGTATTAAGTAGCAAACCACCCTGCCAATACAATCATGGCACCAATAAAGTGATATTGAGAAATAAAAGGCCCTAATAAATGAGTTAGAACTGTCATCACCCTGACACAGTCTCCTTCCTGTGGGGTAAGAGATCATTATGCTGATGCTGAGACAAATGAGTGTGTGTGTGTGTGTTTGTGCATCTAGAGAGCTTGCTCAGAATTCACATCCATGTAAACGAGCACCAGCCTGATAATAAATGCTCCTCAGCCTGATGATGGCTTAATTACCAGTGTAAAGAAAGTGTTTAATCTCTGACCCGTTTCATGTTCTCGCTACTCTCTTTCTCTGGGAGTGAGTTTGCGTGTGTGTGCCAGAAAGCCACCGCTGCGTCCCACTCGTAGAGAGACCCCTGCTGTCTGCCACGGGCCTGTAGGGTGCAATTAGGAGCCCCTAAATGAAGTTGACTATCCGGTTTCGTTTTTCTTCTTATCCTGCCCCCACCTCAATCTCCCTTTGCCTCATCCCACGTAATTAACTCAGAAAACCATCGACTATGCCAAGCGTTGAGACAAAAAAAAAATCACAACAAAACAACAACAAAAATTTTTTTTTACAACCCACATGATCATGCAGCAAAGCGGGCTTGATTTCAGCACCAGGACTCCCAGCACAATGAATTCTCCACACCTGTGCATGTGTGAACACTTAGCAAATCACAAAACGCTCTCCCATGCAAGTGATATATGACATGTACAACATAACAAGGCCTCGACTTGCTAACAAGGCCACCAAGGCTGCCAACAGGGTCTAGAATCAGTGAAGAGCATTAGACCCCCCTGCTTTTAGCTACACAAACAAAGCCAATCCACCTGAGACGGCAGGGGACAGGATGCCCTGGCTGCTTATAGCAACTTGAGGCTGAACATAAGAATGGCAGGAAAGCCGCTCAGGCCTGGCCGGCTTTGAAGTGAGCCACTTCTAAACTTTTCAGATTGGGCCAGGCCAGCAACTTTGAAGGCAAGTTATCCTTCGCCGCCGCGTGTCCTGTTGTGAACGAATTGTTTCCTCTTGCAATTAATCTTTATTTTTTTGGGAGAAACTGACACTCCGCGTTTGTTCTATGGGATGCTGGTCGGCCTTGAGAAATGGGTCAGGTGCCTCTCACACAGGCAGGTGGTGACTAAGCACAGGTGGCAATGTTCGGGCTTTCCTAAGGAATCTCCTCAAGGATGACCACCCACCAACTGGCCACTTCCTCTACCTATCAGGTCATGACCTCAACGCATCAACTGCCTGAGTGTGGCCAAGCAAAGCCATTAATCACAATGAGGTCACTTTGTGGGACCGGCTTACCTCATAGTGTATGTAAAGAATATTGGACAACACCACAAATCATTACACAATACTATAATGACTCCTTTGACCCTGAGTTTCTCTACAGGATATATGTTTGGAGACAACAGCGGACACCAGGCATGCTTTTGTGAATCTCTGTACACCAAATGCGATTACAGACATCCAGGGCTCTC